TTGCCTTTTGTCCCACTCTTCACCCATGCTTTCAGGGCTACCTTGAATTTCTTAGCTTTTGGAGACTTTTAAGACCCACATCAACTTGTTGTTCTCTACCTCTAGCCCCACAGACATTGAAGTTTCTGCTTTGTCTAGCCTGTTCAGTGTTTGTTACTTTTTGTCCATGTACTTTTTGTTTTCCAAAATTTTGTCAGTATCTCTTGTCAGCTGTTGTCTTCTTTCTCATTTTTTTTGTTCTTATGAGTTTATATATTTTTTATTTCTTAATTGTCATTTTAATACGATTTGGACAGGAAGTATAAATGCATGCCCAGACTACCATTTATAGAAATTTGAATTAAAAAAAAAAAAAAATGTCCTAGATGGAGGCAGTACCTATCAAGGGTGGAAATCACTGGTATAGATGACAATGACAGTGGAGAACTGAGGTCTATAAAAGTTAAGACCTAGATCTAGATGCTCCTGAATTTCCCCTTTTTATTCTTAACAACACTTCCTTTGTGCTGTGATCTCAAGCAGCTGAGCCTATGTCTTTTGGTTTTTGTCTGATATAACAGAAGGTAGAGGATGAAATAAATGAGTTTATTAGGTAACACATTTTGAAAATTGTGTTTAAGATTTAGACGATGTATTTTAGAATTAATACATTCAGAGGAATTCATTGTGAAGGGAAACTTTTGTATAGTTATACATTGCTTGATGTTTATACAGACATCCATTAGCATATTTCTAATAATATCTTTAATTATACTACTTATTTTAAAATAACCCACAAATACTCAAGGAATTGTTCAGTTTGTGAACTGTGTGAGAACTACAGGTTTTCATGGTAACATTTATTTGTGTGGTTTTTAAAATAGGTGATCACAGAACATCTTCTAAATGATAAGACAGTTAAGCAGATTTGCTTAGTTAAGATATCACCAAAAGCATCCAGATGAACAGAATAAATACTTGTCTCTTGGAGATGATTTTGGGTGTAGTCTTTACTAGAGGCACAGGTATGAACTCCAAGTTGGCTCTAATATTATGAGATACCCTTGAGTAAATAACAGCCATTCTCTAGACCTTAGTAGAATGATTATTAGGTGTCCTGAATTGGTGTTTATGACCTCAACCAAACCAAAAGAATAATTTCTACAAAAGAGTCTGTGTTAGGTTTTCATAGCACCAAGTTCAAATGGAGCTTAGTAATGAAAAGATTCTCATTAAGAAATGAATTATTTAAAATTAGAGTATAAAACAAGACAGTTGTTTTAGAAACTTCAAGTAATACAGTGTGGGAATTATTTTTAATGTTAAAAATAAAGCTTTCCTAATTCAAGCACGAGAGACTGAAAAAAAAAAAAAAAATAATAAGGCTAACTGGGAGTTACTGCCAGGAAGAAAAATAATTTTAGGCCACAAGCTTCAAAACAGGCAGAAACCTCCAGTGTATCAAACTTTCTGGAATAGGCCCAGAAGCACTGATCTGTGAACAGTTGTCTTTGTATTTGTGGGGTCTTAACTGGCAGTTAAAGAGACTAAATAATAGCAGGGAGTTTAAAAAGCAGGTGAGATTTAGAGTTGACCAATCTGTGTTAGAGGAGGAACATTTTTGGTTTCAGTCACTTACCTATAAAGTATGAGAATTATTTCTTTGAAAGAATGCTGCCTCTGTTTTTCTGCATGTTGTTAGTATTTTCTGAATTGCCCTTTTCCTTTCTAGGGTATTTGTTGGATTGAGGGATTAATTGGATTACATGACTACAGTTTTATTCTGCTTTTTGCCTGCCTTTTGCCAAGAAAGACACAAATCTTCCATGTACTTAATTTTGCACACTTGGGTGTTTCTAAACAGGGTAAATGTTCATTTAAGTACCCATGTATCATATATATTCAATTTATATCTAGCAAGATTTTTCCTCAAAAACTATCCTAAGCAAAGAAGGATTTATATTATAATCAGTCCTTATAAAGTTTCTCATAATACACTGCATTCTCAATTACTTAATTTTTGAAGAACATAGTATTTGAGGAAGTTACATTAAACAGAAAGAACCTTGGTAGATACCAGTTTCTGATTATTCTCATAGAAGTCACCTGAAAACTTGGTTAGAAAAAAAAGACAAAATTAATACAAATTTAACAGTTATTCATGAAATGTGTAAATGTTGTTATTCCATTTTGCTGTGCTATACACAAATACTTAAGGCTGGGTAATTTATAAAGAAAAGAGGTTTGTTTGGGTCAGAGTTCTGCAGCCTCTATAAGAGGCACAGTGCCAGCTTATAAGGTGAGGCCTTAGGTAGCTTATGATGGAAGACAAAGGGAGAGCAGGCATGTCACATGGTGAGAGAGGGAGCAAGAGAAAAAGGTGAAAGAGCCAGGGACCTTTTAACAACCAGCTGTCATGTGAACTCATTACTATGGGGAAGGCACCAAGCCGTTTATCAAGGATGTGCCCCTGTGACCCAAACACCTC